TCTTCTGCCTCAGCCTCCTGAGTAGCTGGGACTACAGGCACGCGCCACCATGCCCAGCTAATTTTTTGTAGTTTTAGTAGAGACGGGGTTTCACCATGTTGACCAGGATGGTCTTGATCTCTTGACCTTGTGATCCACCCGCCTCAGCCTCCCAAAGTGCTGGGATTACAGGCTTGAGCCACCGCGCCCGGCTACATTTTTCTAATTATCACTTGGATAGAGCAACTTAGAATCTATGGTTTCAACAAATGAAAAGGCTTATGTAAAAGAAAACTGGGCCGGCCAGGGTGGCTCAATCCTGTAACTCAGCACTTTGGGAGGCTGAGGTGAGTGGATGATGAGGTCAGAAGATCGAGATCATCCTGGCTTACACGATAAAACCTGTCTCTACTAAAAATACAAAAAATTCACAGGGCATGTGGCACACGCCTGCTCTCCCAGCTACTCAGGAAGGCTGAGGCAAGAGACTTGCTTGAAACTGGGAAGTAGAGGTCGCAGTGAGCCGAGATCACACCACTGTACTTCAGCATGGGTGACAGAGACAGATTCCATCTCAAAAAAGAAAAAAGAAAACCACCGCATAATACAAGATTTTAAATGTGAAAATCATTGGTACATTTTGTCTTGTTTTGTTTTGTTTTGTTTTGTTTTGCTTTGTTGATGGAGTCTCACTCTTATTGCCCATGCTAGAGTGCAATGGCATGATCTCGTCTCACCACAACCTCAGCCTCCTGGGTTCAAGTCATTCTCTTGCCTCAGCCTCCCGAGCAGCTGGGATTACAGGGATGCACCACCACACCTGGCTAATTTTGTATTTTTAGGAGAGCCGGGTTTCTCCATGTTGGTCAGGCTGGTCTCTAACTCCTGACCTCAAGTGATCCACCACCTCGGCCTCCCAAAGTGCTGGGGTTACAGGTGTGAGCCACTGGTCCCGGCCATTGCTACTTTTAACTAGCAATTACCTAGTAAATGTACTGGAAACTGCTTTGTGACTATGGGGATTTATGGAATCTTTCTCATGTTTGGTTCATCTAAGAAATATGAATAATAACTCAAATTTTATAAATTTGCTCTAAAAATTAAATGAGGGAAAATAATACTTCTCTCTCCATATATTGAACACTTAACAAAATTACAGGCATTGTGTCTACATTTTTACACATGTACCTTATGTAAACCTCATAACAACTCCATGTTTTATAGATGAGAAAATGGAGACTCAGAGGACTTGAAAACAAATTCACTAGCATGTAGTAATGAGAGATGTAGCTGGGATTCAATCCAGTTCTATCTGACCCCAAAGGTGGTGCATCATAATGAAGACCAAGTTATACCCTGCACTTGTAGGTACTCAAAAGGATTCCCTCTTTCTACCCCCTTATGTGTGAATTTCAGTGGCTTTCACAACCTCAGAACAATCCCACACACCCTCCCAAGTTGCCTTCCAGTGGTTCCCTTTTTCTTGGGGATGTTTAGGAATCTGCATATTTAGACGACTCTTCAAGCATTTCCTTACAAACATGTGTGGATAAAGGAATAAAACCTCTAGGCCATAGGTTACTAACTGTGAATTGTCTAGCTTATTAATTGCAAATTTATTTGTAATGTATCTTATTACATGTAAAATAAAATCACAGGATCCCCTGAATTTGTGCAGAAAGATTCCAAGCTACACTGCAGGAACATCTTACTGACTACAAAGGAAGATCAGCCCAAACACACAAAGCAAGAGTCCCTCCGAAGACCAGATGTGTGGTGGTTCTTGCCTATAATCTCAGCAATTTGGAAGGCCAAAGCAGATGGATCACTTAAGGCCAGGAGTTTGAGTCCAGGCTAACACAGTGAGACCCAGTCTGCATAAAAAATTATTTTTTATTATTATAATAAAAAAGAGTAACTCTGGAATTGCTTTAGGATGGAGAGTTCTGGTCTAGAATTCAAGATATGGAGTTATGAGTCCAATGTGGCTACTTAACTACCGTTGTGACTTTGGGCAGGTTATGTAATAACTATGATTCTCAGCCCTTTCTTTGTAAATTATCAGCATTGGAATAGATGACTTTAAAAAGCCCTGACCAGTTCTAGCATTCAATGATTCTGTATCAGTGGATGCTTGTCAAAACTACAATTTACTTGACTGGTGATGCCCTGAGATTTTCCTATGGTTAGAGAAAATATGGAAATAACATATTGATCATAGAAAATATGACCATATGGTCAAATATGGTCAAAGGAAATACATTTAGCTTTGTTTTTAAAATGAGTGACTTAACCACATAAAATCTACAACCATTTTGAGAAATAAGATGAAACAGTAAGTGTGATGCATCCTGATGTGGTCCCAAAGTATTTCTGCAGGATAAAAGACTCACAAAAGCATTCACTTCCTCATAAATATACCAGTGACTTCTCTAGCCACAAAAACTCACAGTTCGTATACTTTGCAATGTCAAACACTTGTGTGATTTACTGCATTTACAGTGCACTCCTTGAAACGGTATGGGCTGCTTCCCAAAGTCCTTGGTACTGGAAGCCCAACTTCCATTCAGTGACTGCAAATCCCTCTCCCACCTTCTCCCATTTCCTTCCATGAATGTGGGATTATGAAGGAACTGAAAACCACAATAAGTGAGGACTGGTTAAAGGCACTAGCGATGTTTATCCTGAGAATGACTGACAATATTTTAGTGAAACAATAAGAGCAGTCTTTGAATAACTGAAGGTCTACTGTGTAAGAGGGTTTCAGCTTGATGTGTTCTGTAGACCCCAAGGATCAGGGGCATCATAAGCCCCTAGTGAATGTTTACTGAGTGAACAAATTCTGTATTGTTTCCACAGCATGAACCAAGACCTTGGGCTGCCATGGGGTCCTGGGGCTGAACTGAACTCTGGCAGGGGCAGTCCCCTTACTCTCCATTGATCAGAAGGCTGCATGTGCTCTATATGTTAGAAGTAACCCTGTGAACTGGGACGTCCGGACTCCAAACGATTAGTAACATTTGCTTTGAATTTTTTAAAAAGCTTTATTCATCTAACAGTTGGGTTATTAAAAGGTATCTCAGTAAAATAAGGCAATTTGGCTTTAGTTTCTATAAACAGTTTCATCAAACACTGACTGTTACATCAGAAATCAATGTGCTCTGTCTAGCTTGTCTCTGTTATCTCCAGAATCAATTTTCCTTGTCTTCAATTAGTCTTAGTGTGATATGTAACAGAATCAAATGTTTCTCACTATTATCTCAGAAGTGT